GGAAGCGATGTAGTGGAGGCAGGATCCATACATAGCTTTAAGCAGAGGTATGATAAAGCTCACGGTTCAGGGAGAGTGACCTAGTAGCGATCAGTGAAGACGCGGGGCCAGGAGCTTGGACTCGACTCCTGTAACCTCAACTAGATGAGTACAACTAGGTGAGTACACACACACACACACACACACATATACACACTGTCGACACTGGAGGACAGGAGGGATAGGGGGGGGGGCAAATGATAACGACATATAAATTACTGAGAGGATTTGAAAAGGTGACAGCGACAAGGATGTTAGAAGTATTTCTTCAGTCATAGAGTTGTCAGGAAGTGGAACAATCTGGAGAGTGATGTAGTGGAGACAGGATCCTTACATAGCTTCAAGAAGAGGATAAAGCTCATGCAACAGGGACAGAGTGGACCTAGTAGCGACTAGCGAAGAGGCGGGGACAGGAGCTATGACTTGAACCCTGGAACCACAACTTGGTGAGAACTACGTGAGTACACAAGCTCACCCCCCTTCCTTCCCCACACACACACGTTTTCAGATTGCAACAGTTCATTTGCTCTCTGCTTGTCTGGCAAGATGATCGCTGCTTCGTAAGCAAACACAAAAACTCTGGCTAAAAACACTACATATATATACACTGAGAGTTGACATTGATCCCTGTTTTAAGGATTAATAGTGTCCTTAAACGTTACTGCACAGGTGAACTGCACCCTTAACAACCTCGTGCGGTCGATAGGCTTGAAACCAAAGAAAGTAACGGGAAACACACCGAGACGTGTCTGTTTTGAGGACAAAATAAAAAACAAAACTCAATTTTACAGAATAAAATTTTATTACACTAATAAAGCCCACCAAAGACAACACCAAACTAAAGGAAAAAAAATGAAATCTAGAGGGGAAAATATTTTGGTAACCTTAAAAAATAAAAACAATTAAACCCAAACAGGAAGATAATTTCATTCGACAAGAGACGCAGAGCTTTGAAAAATGATGAAAGTTTATAAAAAATATGAAATATGTTTTTTCTGCTCCACAAAGTACGAGAGACGAGTTAAAGCTCAGAGAGAGAGAGAGAGAGAGAGAGAGAGAGAGAGAGAGAGAGAGAGAGAGAGAGAGAGGGGGGGGGGAGGAGAGGGCGGCCAAGACCAGACCAAGTACAAACACAAACAGACAAGCAGATCAGCCACTGTGGAGAGAGCCAGACAGCGCAGGAGATAGAGCCAGACTTAACATTATAGAAACTTCACTGCCGCTCCCTCACTCGCTCTCAAGGAAACTCAAACGAACTTCACTGATGATGATGACGATAATAATAATAATAATAATAATAATAATAATAATAATAATAATAATAATGTTTTCCTTACTACGCGAGTATTAATGACAGAAGTTTTCATTTTAATATTAAGATAAGACTTACAACGAATCTATTATATAAAAAGTTTGTGGCTTTTAAGTCTTATAGTAATATCAGTATTTATTATTATTATTATCGTGTTATTATTATTAATTACAAGTTATATATTAATCATTATCTTGTAATAATATTACTAAAGTACCGTCATGTTAGTCACAGGGTATATATACTGAGGTGTAAATCTTTCAGTTAATTAACATCGACATGTTAATCTCCAGGGTTTATTACCTGGACCTCAGCAATGAGAGTGGCTACTCTCACCGCTGGGCAACGGCGACCAGAAATCTCTATCTTTGCTGTATATATGTATATACTTACATAAGTATGTCTCCCTCCATAAATATAATGAGAATTTAATTTAATTTTGTAATTAAAATACTGGCTTTAATACTGAAAAATAACCAATTATCAAACAGGAACCGCTTTACTAAATTATTATTATTATTATTATTATTATTATATTATTATTATTATTATTATTATTATTATTATTATTATTATTGCAAGGAGAGCAAGTTCGTACCTTCGTGGGTGTAACATAACATCGTGATGGGCCGAGCCCTTGACAGACACCTGACATTCCATTATCTATATTCTATAGGGAATAGATATTGTGATGTCAGTTGTGGGAGGCTGCTGGAAGATGCTTCTCTCCGCTGTGGCTCAACACCTGGCTTTGTTTACTCAATTATAAGTATAGCTAAGGTTGGTGTCGTCACCTTGAGACGCACTGAGGTTAGATAAGGGAACACAAACGGGTGGTTGGTCTCATCTCTGTCGAACGTGTAGATGTGATTCCTTTTATTAAGGAATAATGGGTTGCATCCAGTGCTGTGGATCAACATGTCATGTCACGCAAAATGGGTTTCATGCATAAAGTGATGAAATCTGTCAGTCTAAACTGTGAGACTTCAGAAGGGAGATGGGGATATCGTCAAGGCTTCCATTTAAAAGCTCCGTAGCTACGGAAACCTTCTGCTCTCAGGATGCCTCCTATCATAAAAAAAAAAAAAACGGGGAAGACTTACCTGTGCGACAGGTCAAGTACAGCGGTGGAGGACAAGAGAGACTTACCTGAGTCTCGGTGAAGACAACTGGCTGGTGTGGGGCGCCACCCACAGTGTGGGGCAGGTAGGTGGACACTACCTGGGGAGCTATCATGCTGTGGTCATGCTCTAAGCATGGTTCTCCCCATCCACCACCCCGACCGCTGCTGCCGCTGCCACCCTCACCTGTAATATAGCCAAGACACCGTCAGCGAGGAGGGGAAGCAGGAGGAAAGTGGAAAGCTGAAGATGGAAGGAGTATAAAAAAAGAAAAACATAAATGATAAATATGATGAGAAGGAAGCAGAGAATTTGGAAAGACACAGTAGAAAGGTTGGAAGAAGGAAGAGGCAGTGAAAGATGGGAGACGGAAAGAATTACGCAATGAACAAGTGGGAAGCAAAGGGGAAGGGAAAAATGAGGACAATTTGCTTTCTGGTTATTATTAGTAATAACATTACAACACATTTCAAATTTTACTTAAATTATGACGGCTTCGCTAACTCAATCATAATTCAAAAGAACCTGAGGAATATTCATCTATGTTATGCATGTTATTCATGCTATACACCCGTGTCATATTTTAAAATATCCATCACTAGAGAGCAACACACTAATCCCCTCCAGAAGAAATCAACTCAATTATCGTCTCAGTATTTCGGTATCGAATTACTGAACCCATTTAATCAGCCTTACGAAGATAAACAGTTTATCCTTTAATATCTCACATAGATATCCTCTGGGGTGCACCACACACACACACACACACAGAGGCCAGGAGCTGTGACTCGACTCCCGCAACCACAACTAGGTGAGTACACACACACACAGGCCAGGAACTGTGATCGACCCCCGCAACCAAAACTAGGCGAATACACACACACACACACACACACACACACACACAACACACACACACACACACACACACACCCCCACACACACACACACACACACACACACAAAGAAGACCGCAGACACAATATAGTCTAGACAGCCAAAGACTGCAAATCTCACTCAAGGAAAAAGATCTGGGGGTGAGTATAACACCGAGCATATCTCCTGAGGCGCACATCAATCAGATAACTGCTGCAGCATACGGGCGCCTGGCAAACCTACGGATAGCGTTCCGATACCTCAGTAAGGATTCGTTCAAGACCCTGTATACCATTTACGTCAGGCCCATACTGGAGTATGCAGCACCAGTTTGGAATCCACACCTGAGTAGCACTGAATTATGAGAAGAGTTGCAAAGGTCTTGCCCCCGGATAGCCCAGATCAACAGGGTTGTCCTACGAAAAACGTACGAACGGTTCAGGAACACTTTGGCTGTACCAGCACTTGGACGCAGGGTGACAGTTGAGTCGTGTGACAGGTAGACGCAGACCCATATGGATCGTTGAACGGAGCACGTCAAGAATAAATAATTAGACTTCAAGCTACGTTGTCACATAGAAAGGTGAGGAATCGCTGACGAACAGACGGGATCAGCTTGCCAAGAAAGGAAGGGACACACGTCACAACAAAAAAACGAGGATCACAATGTAAAGGAAGTTGAAAGGGAACAGAAGAGCACGATGCAGATGAATCAAAGGGATGTTAGGAAGTATTTCTTCAGTCATAGAGTAGTCAGGCCGTGGAATAGCCTAGAAGAGTGGAGGCGGGAACCATACATAGTTTTAAGGCGAGGTATGATAAAGCTCATGGGGCAGGGAGAGAGAGGATCTAGTAGCAATCAGCGAAGAGGCGGGGCCAGGAGCTATGACTCGACCCCTGCAACCACAAACAGGTGAGTACAAATAGGTGAGTACGCACACACACACATATACACACCATCACCATCTACAGAGGTACGCACAATGTAAAACCTAAAATATCGACAGAGCACACACACTATACTGCAGACTTGCTAAGATATCAATATTTACACAATACAAACTAATACCACACCCTGATATCCATAGACTCACACTACACTTATACTTTACTAACACAGGAATACATAAATTTCACTACCATGAAAAGTGTCGATAGAATTGTCAGCCTATCAGTGACTGACACTGGTGCTGCCTACAGACACTGACGCCAGTAGTCAGGAGTTGCTACCTCAACCTCAACACCTACCACTGGAGTGGTCCTCCTGAGGCTCCTGACCCTTCAGCCTCATAACAATGGGGTCGAGGACGACGATTTGATTCCATGGCACTGGTACTGTCACTGTCAGGGGCTCGAACGGCGCCCGCTGGAACTGCAGAGTCACCGCTCCGCCACCATTCACCAGCACGTCGAACCTGATGAAGGAGAAAGACACAGTGGTGAGCCTTATGCGTGCAAGGAGGTCTTCTGAGACTTTTGAAGGAGGATAAAAGGAACTTTTAGGGACGTCAGCAGCTGGAGGTGGGAAAGGAAAGGAATCTCTGGGTGCTAGAGGAAGGCAGAGTGGAAAGAAATCAGGATAAGGGGAAGAGGGGAGAGAGGGCGAGAGAGAGAGAGAGAGAGAGAGGAGAGAGAGAGAGAGAGAGAGAGAGAGAGGAGAGAGAGAGAGAGAGAGAGAGAGAGAGAGAGAGAGAGAGAGAGGAAAGAAAGAAAGAAAATTCACTGGGTGGAATCGGAAAATCTTATATTTCTTTCAAGTTTTCGTTGTGAAGAAGCAGAGCATTCAGTGAAGTCTTTAGGCGTGAGATCCTAAATTTATGTAAAGATTGTCTGGCAGTAGAATGAGCTTACGAGAGAGAGAGAGAGAGAGAGAGAGAGAGAGAGAGAGAGAGAGAGAGAGAGAGAGAGAGAGAGAGAGAGAGAGAGAGAGAAGAGAGAAGAGAGAGAGAGAGAGAGAGAGAGAGAGAGAGAGACCACTGTAGATAGTGGCTTATATAGCAAGGTCATTCTACAGGACATGGGAGAGGAGATGGTTGCTGGGTGAAAGGAAAACGGGGTCAGTAGGTTTGAGGGGAAGGTGGTCACTGAAGGATCTTTGAATGAGAGGGTGAAGGTTTTCACTGGGTGAGAGGGAGGGGAGAAGGGCTTTCACTGGGTGGAAGAGGAGAGTTTTCACTGAGAGCGGAAGGGTTATCTCTGGGTGAAAGTGGAAAGGAGCCAGAAAACGGGAGGGAAAGGAGGTCAAGGAATGAGATGGCTTCTGGGAATTACATAAAAAATCTAATTTAAGGTGCTAGAAAATCTAAGGTCAAAAAATCTAATTTCAGGGCAAAAAAAAATCTAATTTAAAGTCAAAAAGTTTAATTTAAGGTCAAAAAACCTAATTTAAGGTCAAAAAATCTAAATTAAGGTCTCAGAAAGTCTAAAAGTAGTTAAAAAAATATCTCTAGATTTAGGTCAGTTGAGGTTAAAAATAATATACAAAGGAGATCAACAGATTTAACAAATGCGCTGCTTACATCAACAAAGGTTATTATAACAGATTTACTTACGAACAAAGATGTTAATATAACACTGCATCTTTGTTAACTTTGCTTAAAGTAACACTTTAACCAAGTCAACACGGATCAAAACAACACTATGACATCGTAGGTCAAGATAACACTATGTCAACATTGATTTAAAAATAGCACTATGTCAACATGGGCGAAAATAACATTTTATCCATGCCAACAGCCGTCAAAATAACGTAAACTAGATTAACGAAGCTCAGATTAACCCTTATCTTGCCCATCAAGAGCTTAAAACTAGCAGATAATGTTTTGACGACTCTGGTTCATCAAAACTATGCTGGCGAAGACCTTCATCAAGGTTGAGGGACTGATTACCCCGCCTTCTGCTGTCTCCAGTTTCAACACCTTCAATAATGTCAGTAAAGGACATAAAAGAAACGTATAGAATTTACCACAGGGTTTAATAAGGCATTATCGATGTCATTAAAGGTGAAAACAGCAATTTACCGAAGGTATCAATTCTGAAAATGTTGTAATATAGAGGTGAAGGAAATGTTAGCAGTAAGTGGCTTACAAATGGCCTTCACTAAGCACCTGTTATCTTAGGATAGAAATAAGAAACTCACTTACAAATGACTACACTGAGCACACCTGTTATCTTAAGATAGCTCACACAATGTTTAATGAGGAGGGAGGAGGAGGAGGAGGGGGAGGCAGTTAGACTTAATGACGTAATTAGCTTAACGGGTCAGACAGTTAAAGGGATTAGGGTTAAGAGGCAAAAATTACATTAAATAGAAGCGTCACACGGGAGAGGGAGAGTATCACACAGGGGAGGGGGGAGGGGAGGGGAGCGTCACTCTGGGGAGGGGTTCGTTACATGGGGGCAAAGCGTCAAACGAACGGTGCGTTACACAGGAGAAAGCGTCAAATGAATGGTGCGTTAAATAGGGAAAAGCGTGAAACGAATGGTGCGTTACATGTGGGAAATCGTCAAACGAACGGTGCGTTAAATGGGGGAAAGCGTTTAACAAATGCTGCGCTAAATAGAGGTGCGTTATATGGGGGGAGGAAGCGTCACACGAATGGTGCGTTACATGAGGGGGGAAGCGTCAAACTAATGTTGCGTTACATCAGGGGAAAACGTCAAATGAACAGTGCGTTACATGGGGAGCAAAGGGACAAACGAACGGTGCGTTACGTGGGGGGTAAAGGACAAACAAACGGTGCGTTACATGGGAGGTAAAGATACAAATGAACGGAGCGTTACATGGGGGGTAAAGGGACAAATGAACGGAGCGTTACATGGGGGTAAAAGGGACAAACGAAACGGTGCGTTACATGGGGTAAAGGGACAAACAAACGGTGCGTTACATGGGGGTAAAGGGACAAACGAACGGTGCGTTACATGGGGGGTAAAGGGACAAACAAACGGTGCGTTACATGGGGGGGTAAAGGGACAAACAACGGTGCGTTACATGGGGAGTAAAGGGACAAACAAACGGTGCGTTACATGGGGGGTAAAGGGACAAACGAACGGTGCGTTACATGGGGGGGTAAAGGGACAAACGAACGGTGCGTTTACATGGGGGGTAAAGGGACAAACAAACGGTGCGTTACATGGGGGGGGTAAAGGGACAAACGAACGGTGCGTTACATGGGGAGTAAAGGGACAAACAAACGGTGCGTTACATGGGGGGTAAATGGACAAACGAACGGTGCGTTACATGGGGGGTAAAGGGACAAACGAACGGTGCGTTACATGGGGGGTAAAGGGACAAACGAATGGTACCATCCAAAATCTTGTCACAGTGATCTAAGACCTCCTCTGATGCCACGTTTCCTTGGCTTCTTTAGCTTACAATTCACCGTAAAGTCAGTAATTTGGTGTTTCCAAATCTTTCAAGGATTTTAATAATGGTGGTGCTACTGGGCTGTGGGTTTTAGCAGAACAAAAACCCACAAACCCTGCGAAGAGGGACTATGTCTCCACTCATTACGGTCTCAGAGATTTCCCCTAAATTAAGGCTCTTTCTGAGAAGAGAACCAAGTGTTCTTGCTTATAACACTGTGCATTATATTGATAATGTCCCGTTTCCAGGAATCAGGTTCAGGTGCTGAGTGTGTGGTTAAGCTGTCAATGCACAAATAACCCGCACATAGGAGAGAGAAGCTTATGACGACGTTTCGGTCTGATTTGGACCATTAACAAAGTCACACAATGTGGCTTTGTAAATGTGTGACTTTGTAAATGATATAAGTCGGACTGGAACGTAGTCGTAAGCTTCTCTATCCTATATACGGGTTATTTGTATATTGCTCAAATCACGGTGTTTGTGTACTTTTATTCTTTAGTGTCAGTTATCCTATCGGTTCCGAAACTTTCAGTAATGATGATACTCGTATATAATTTCCTCTAGGCCTTCCGTGTTGGGCAATCAACACACCATTAGAACTATGTAATGTATTAATATATATATATATATAATATATAATATATATATATTATATTTATATATATATATGCAATTAAGATCACAGTAAAAGGTGATTTCAGAATATGCAAAAAACCTACTCTGAAAGAATAGCGAAATTCCAACGCTTTCGTGACTACTCACATTATATAGTTCCTTGATAATCGAGTAGTCACGAAAGCGCTTGGAATTTCTCTATTCTTTCAGAGTGGTTGTTTTGCATATATATATATATATATGTCGTGCCGAATAGGCAGAACTTGCGATCTTCGCTTAAATAGCAACGCTCATCTTGCCATATAGGACAAGTGTAAATTTGTGTATGCAATAATTTTGCAAAAATCATCCTGAACCTAACTAAAAAAATATATTTCACTGTATTTGTGTAGTATTAAATTATTGTAAACAAATCTAAAATATGTTTAGTTGGGTAGGGCTAAAATAAATTGTTCTTTTTATAATAAGGTTAGGTAAGTTTTCTAAGTTCCTTTTGATGCAAAATTATAAATTTTTACATCAACATTAATGAAAAAAAAATATCTTTAAACATATAAGAGAAAATTTTAGAAAGGACTTAATTTTAAATGAGTTCTTGCTAATTGACCAGTTTTACATATTCGGCACGACATATATATATATATATATAGGTTAGCATAGGCACCACTGTGACCACTATGCTAACCTTCCTATGGTGTAGAAATATACCTAGTTGGACGAATCTTATTGTGGCTAGCTGGTCCAGTGGCTAAGGCGACGGTCTGGAGTTTTGAGACTCTGATCGCGGGTTCTAGCCCCGCCCGTGGTATGGTTTGTTTGCAATCGTGGCATTACGATTTCGTGAGCAAGATATGAGCGTGGGGTAGGTGCGTGAGGCATTACGTAGAATGAAAGGGGATAAAAGCAACTTGAACTGATGAGATCATGATAGAAATGTTAAAAGCAGGGGAAGATATGGTGTTGGAGTGGATGGCATTTTTGTTTAATAAATGTACGAAAGAGGGGATGGTACCTAGGGATTGGCAGAGAGCGTGTATAATTCCTTTATATAAAGGGAAGGGGAAAAAAAAGAAACTAAAATTTATAGGGGAATAAGTTTACTGAGTATACCAGGTAAAGTGTACGGTAGGGTTATTATAGAAAGAATTAGAGGTAAGACAGAGAGTAGGATTGCGGATGAGCAGGGAGGCCTTAGAATGGGTACGGGGTGTGTAGATCAGGTGTTTAAGATAAGATAAGATAAGATTTCGTTCGGATTTTTAACCCCGGAGGGTTAGCCACCCAGGATAACCCAAGAAAGTCAGTGCGTCATCGAGGACTGTCTAACTTATTTCCATTGGGGTCCTTAATCTTGTCCCCCAGGATGCGATCCACACCAGTCGACTAACACCCAGGTACCTATTTGCTGCTAGGTGAACAGGACAACAGGTG